GAACAAACCAAAAGAGCACCCATATGCGATGAAATACTACAGATATGAAACGCTCTTAAACTTCTTTTAGAAAAATACTGCGTTGAGTGGTTTACTTTTTTTCTCGCTGAAGTCTCGCARGTGCTTTGAAGCTTGGCCTCTTCAGTAGCTCCAAGTGTGAAATTAGTGAGTAGAAAAAGAGGAGGCTGGGCCTATGCAGCATGCTTTCCTTTTCCAGAGCAAACTGCTTTTGCTGTGGTTTTCCAGGCAGTGTACCTCAGGGGCTGTGGTCCCTCGCTGCTAAGGTCTCTCTGTTGAGAGCAGTCATGTCAGAAGTGGGATCCCACCGAGACCAGCTGACTGCCAGGTTGGAGCTCAGTTCCCCCCCCCCCCCTTAAACTCTTGCTTGTTCTGTATGAGTAGTATTTCTGGAAGCAGCAYTGTGAGCATTTGCAGTCCTTGTTTTTAATCCAGGTTCAGGCACTAGTACATGTATTCAATTTTTRGCAGTGTGTCAGTGATCATTCAAAAAAAATAAAGAAAAGAAAACAGCTCCAATGGGAATGGTTTGCTTTGCTTCTTTGCTTTTTTAATTTTTAAATCCAGAAGAGGGAGCACTAGGAAAAGGGACAAAGCTGCTGCATTAGTTGACACCATGGCAACATCAAGCTTCAGGTCCAGAGCTCTGCTTTGTGCAGAAACCCTGAGTACACGCTTGTATGAGCTGATGCAACCTGTCCTGGTCAAATCTGTGTTGATGGCTTATTCACTTTCCATCAGCACACTGATGCATGTTGCAAGTATASATACCATGTGTGAATCCACTGAACAAAACAAGTTAAACTTATCATTAGGCCATGGGTTTGTGACATCAGGTGTTTCAGCAGCATCTAGTTTAGGTTACTCAGCCTAGTTTGTCCCAGTGTATATCAGTTCCATGGCATTACAGTTGCACTGGCAACTGATCCAAGATATGCATGGAAGTGTCTGAAGTGGATGAAGGAATTTATTTGCCTTTGGAAACAAACAAACAACCAAAATCCCCAAACCCCAGCTACTGGGAGGTTGTTTTTATAACTTCTACAAACTTTTCCTGACTTTGACTTGCAACAGCTAAGTGTCCCTGCTCACCCCATGAGGCAGACTTCTGCAGTGCAGAGGAAGAAAGGAGAGCAAGGRCTTATTCGTAACACACTTTGCTGTGCAGAACTACAGCTCCATCTGGAGCCCTGCACCTGGAGTGACAGAAATCATGCGGTGGGGCTGCCACAAGCACCTTCTGCACTGCAACAGCTTCTGGGACTTGAGTCAGATGGGCCTAGAATTTGTTCTGTAACAATTTCCCTTGTGTTTTAAGAGATGCTTCACCTTCTAATGCTGAACAGCTTTTCTAGTATTTTTTCTGTTCTGATTGTCTTGCTGATCTTTCAGCTACTCATTGCTTTTCTTTAAGAGCACTTGTTTTTTTATTCTACTTTCATAATTTCTGTCTCCCAACAGCAACAAAGTAGGACTTTGAGCAGCCTGTGGCAGAGAAGGCTCTCAGGCACAAGAGAAGGCTCTCAGACATATGCAAGAAATAGGACAGAGTGATTATGTATRATTATGATTAGATTTATTGCTAATACATTCCTGCTGTGGCCAATCCATCTGGAAGCTGTCTGGAGCCTTGGGAGACCAATTGGCCCAGTCTCCCWCAGTATTTTATACCCTTTTGCAAACTGATGTGCACCACAGTCGGTAGTGAATATCTCAGCCCCTCTGAGCCTCATTCCCACCCCCTCTCTGGATATGGCATCCAGACACTTTCTCCTGCAATATTCACTTGGTGTTCTTGCCATGGGGCAAGCCACGTTGTGCTTGGACTACCTCTGGTATCAGAGAAGTGATGCTAATAATAATTCTATGGCCCTTAATCGGGAACAGGATGAAAGCAAATGGTAGTTGGACAGACTCAAAAGCTTACCCCGGGAAAATCCTTTGCTTTTTTTAGCTTGTCCAACCCATGGGACACACTCATCTCCCAGTTCTTTCACCTCATAACAGTGCATGAAGTTGGCCTAACTATGTTCCTGCTGAAAGAATCGTACTTCCCTTGGCCCATTTTTTTCCCTGCCACTACGCTGTCCTTGTATCAGCAGGAGAGAAGTGCTAAGGAATGGCTAAAAATAACCAGAGATGCAAAAGGTAGTTTTGGCTGATTCAGCATTGAGGCCACATTTGTTACAATATGAATGTGTTGGTGTGATACGTCTGAACTGATCTACCACTGTGCTGGAGAGGGAAGGCCCTGTCTGTCTTTGAGAGCTTCCCAGTGTGTTTTGGATGGTGTGGTAGGTTGCTTAGAATTCCCAAATACAGCAGAAATAACCCTAGCAAAAGAAAACAAAAAGTAGGTTTTAATTTGGTTTTTTAATTGAATTGACTTAATTTTCAGGCAGATGGTCACCAGACCCAGCTCTCTGGAGAAGACAAGTCAGAGAAACATTAGTAGGATGGTCACTTCTAGTAGCTGTGGAACATTCACTACAGTCTCACTTGGTCCTATTTCTCTTCTATTTCCAAAATTTGCTTCTCATACCTTTTTATCCTGTTGTTCTGCTCCGAATTGTTCCGAGCTGTGGTTACTTTGTCCCTTTTCTGTTGCCCCACCATTGCAACATCCAGTTATCCTCCTCACTTCATTCATTTCAGTTTCCTGACTGAAATTTGAGCTCTTCTCTGGTCCTCCTTTCATTTTCACTTTTTCCTGGCTTTTGGKGATTAGATGGCTGATTCGGTCTTGGCTTCCCTCCTCATCCTTTTCTTTTTATGCTCCCAGAATTTATGCTTAGCAATTTCCATTTCTACCTTGCTACTCTTTTTTGTGGCTTCCCAAACCACCCTGATCTGTAGATAAATCGTTGTCTGTGCTGATTGTTAGTCTCAGTCAGTCACATGACCGTATTAATTTTTAATCCCAAGTTTCTTTCCTGTTCATTTCTTTTCATCCCATCCAATGTCTTTTTCTTCCTCRGGCTTTAAATGCCATTTTCCCTTCATTAGTCAGTCTCTGTCTCTATTTTGTTTCTGTTTGTCTTGCTTAGGCTGAAGTTCCATGAACAAACAGTTCTAACAAGAGGGTGCTGGGGTTTTGCAGTTTTATTTTTATGCTTCCTAAGTTCCCTCATCCAGTTTATAGCACAGCCCATGCAAACAGTTTTGCCAATATAAAGGAGGGGWATTGGGATCAAGGTGTGTATGCTAGCTGTGACATTGGACAATATGCCAGTGGGACCAGTCTCCTTCCTTAAATAGTTTTGGTTTTACTGCAAAACAACAACTTCTCTCTTCCTTTCTAGTATCAAACTAATCAAAYTGCGTCTGAGTTTGTTCCTTTCACTTGAAGTCCTTTCCTTTGCATTTAGAGCAAATGAAGTCTGCTTGCATGATGTTAGGGCACTAGGTAGCTGGAGAAAGGAGTTGTGCAGGTTTTGTCTGGGTTTAAAGTGCTTTTTGTCAAGTAGTGCTTTTCATACCAAAACAGGAGATTTCTTGATAGCAGTTTTTATTCCTAATTGTCATTCGTCTGTTTCCTTTCATGTTGAACTTATTTTCCTTTAAAGGCTAGGGTGTTGTGTTTGGGGTTTTTTTGCAGGGAGAGACGTGGTTTGTTGGGTTGTTTTTTCCCTTCTTATTGCTGAAATGGATTTGTACGTCCCAGTTAAAGTCTTTTCCATTAAATCAGGAAACAAAGAAGTGACAGATCTGTTTGGATGCTTTTTCACTAGTGGACTGTCCTTGTTTGTGTCTTGTGCTAAAGATGATTAAAAGCTTTGTGAAGCTCTCTCAAAGGATTCGATTACTGCCTAGCCTTTGTCAGCTAACAATGGAACCATAATCTGCATCAGATTGTATTATGTGCTATCAAAAAGTTGTAGTTCTTTAACTGGAGATGTAATTTCCTGGTACCATTTATCTTTTCATCTGACCTTGACTCTTCATAAAGGGAACAATATCTTTTCCTCACCAAAACACTTCTCTGTCCTGCAGGTCTTGTACTCAGCGCTTGAGGCATTAGGAGGAAGAATGGTTGTCTGTGTCTCAGGATGCTAAATCATCAGTAGAATCAAATTTCCATTTATATGGGAATGTGGGCACTTTGTACGGTGTTTGTGTAAATGGGTGCTGGCCCTGTGTGCGTTTCCCTGGATCTGGGAAGGTCTTTTCTTGGGACCATTGCTGGATTTTGCTTGCTCCAGCTGACTCCTTGTTGATTGAGCTTGTGAGGGTATCTGTGTTAAGGGTCTTATTTGGGGGGCATTTGCTGCTAGGATCAATGGCTAAGCTGCTTCTGGACCCACTGCACAGGCTACTATATCCAAATAAATCTATAAAGATCAGTGTCTGCTGGTGRGCACAGTGCCAGAAACAGCTCAGGCCTGTTAGTGGTGTTAGTGTCTGAATTTTAACTTTGCTGAGATATCCCCACCCTCCTCATTACCCCAGAAGGTGAGGGATTGACTGGAGCATGAGAGCTCCATCCACTGCCTTGGCCTTCTGACAGCAACGATTCTTTGAATTAATTTTCTGATTGTCTAAATCATCCCTTTTTCAGCAGAGTACTTAAATCTGTCCTTGCTGTTTACATTTAGCTGAACTGGGAATAACCTTAATTGCTAAACCATTCCTAAAGCAGGCTGGCAATTAATTTAATACATTATGGTCACAAATTTTCCCATTTAATAATTTATAGCTTCCCATGCTGTGTATGTACAAATGATGTGTTTCTTCACTAGTAAGCTTCAAATGCTTTGTTAAGGTGGTAGTTTCTTTYAAATATGCCACATGCATTGTACATCAATTGTTATATTAAACAGGGCTTTCTAGTCCTGTTCCAGAGATGCTCATGTGGTAATGGATTATGAATGTCCTAAACTAGAACAGTTCAGGACAGGTTTTTCATGGAAATACAGTGCTGAAAGAAGTAACTTCTGGAAGGTTGTTAAGATATCTCCTCTAAATGTAAGAGGGAGCAGTGACTGAATAAATGTAATTCCAAGTAGATATGTGTTTCGGAAATGCTATGATAGATCATACTCATTTGAAACATTTAAAAAGTATCCTTATTAAACCTGGTCTAGTAGAAGGTTCTCTGCCCATGGGAGGGAGATTGGGACTRGATAATCTTTAAACCAATTCAAGCTATTCTGATTTTATGATCCCCAAAAACTCTGGATGTTCAGTTGCAGGCCCAGCACTGCCTCCAGATTACAAAAGCAGCTGTAGCTCAGAATCTCCTGACAGTGATGACAAYTCAGAATCTCTTCCTCTACCCAGAGACACAAACAGAGATTCTGAAGAGGAGACMGAAGGAGATCCAGCACCCAAGTGAGTATGTCCTTGGGTTATTTGTATATTTACATTGTATTGCACATGTGTCTAACTTATGAACAAGGGACAGTGTTGTATTAAAAAAGAAGTATATAAAAAGGTAAACTCTGTACCTGTGTAAAACTTGTTCTGCGTCTTCTTCATGGCCAAGAATGTTCAGCTGACCTGTATGACACTCTGTGGTGGAATTAAGTTACTTGGGGCAATCAAATCTATTTATTTACGTGCTTTATTTTTGTTCTGCAATTTTGCATGTTTATGCTAAGGACAGACACCATTTAGCATGTACATAAGTATTGGTACTGGAGTTTTATGGTTATACCTGGTTTTGGTATACTAGTTCTCTTTGAGAGGCCTAAGAACTGTTTATGGACATGAATTTATGCATTCAGTTTAGTCAGCTCTGATGAAAAAAGCCTAAATGGTTTAGCAAGTAACAGGAATCTCCAGATACTCTCTTTTGTTGTGATGATTGCTCACAATTGCTGTGTTAAGCATTTGTGTATATTTGCTCTCTTGTATGAGAGACGTGAAGGCCATTATGCCRTATTAATGAGTGTTAGAGTAATTAYAACTCACTTTTTTCTTGTTTTCTTATTCAATAGTTTTCCAGCTAATTAGAATTGAACAGGGAACAATACTATTCAAAATGCAGACAGTATATAAAAATGGACAAAGAAATGTGCTGAATTTTAAATTATTTTATKATTAGAAGAGGGTATTTCAACATTATACTAAACTTTCTACAGCAAAAGCATTCCTAATGTTGTTTTTAATTTTATTTTGCGKTTTTTTTAATGTCAGAGCATTTTTGGAGAGTTTATATTCCCAGTTTTTTTAATTGCTTCCAATCATATTGGATCCTTTTGCACAGTTTCCTTGGCAACAGCAGGATATTTAGTATATAAGACCCTATGAAATAATTTAATGTGTTTTTTTCCTTTAAAAAATGTAGATAATTGCTGTGTATGTCAAGGTAATTATTAAGTGAAATCTGTATTTGCAGAAAGCCAAAAAGAATTCCTGAAGATGATGATGACGATGGCTTTTTTGGGCCAGCTCTTCCTCCTGGATTTAAAAAACAGGATGATTCTCCAGAGAGGTAATTAAAATGGAATTATATTCTTTTTTTTTTTCCTTAAAACACAATTTCTTTAGATTAAATATTTTGTGTCACTATTACAGAACACTTCAGTTGTGCACTTCAGATTCAGATAATTAGAGCTAATAGTTTCTCYACCTTCTGAGAACAGGAACTGCATTCCCTTGAAACAGAGCACACAGCCCTCCTAGACCAGGTTGGAAGGAGAGTAAAAGAACTAATGTGAATTTTCTGAGATGCATTTTGGATGTCAAATTTCTTTCATTTCTTTTAATAGCTCTCAGATCAGTGGAGAAAAAGCAAATTGCAGGTACCAGGAGTCATAGTTCTGTAGCTCCTTCTGATCTGTGAGGGAGTAGGGCAGTTACCTTTACCATGTCATTTGCTAATGCATCAAGGATTGTTGTTTATGTGTCTCCAGGTACAAAACTACTCTGAGCAGTGTAGCTTTCTAGAAAAGAGGCTGTCAGATCTAAACAAATAAGCATTATTTATGGTCTCTATCAGGAAGTTTTCCATTTGATTGCTTACAACTGTAAAATACTTCCCCCAAAAAATATTATATGGATTTTCTATACAGAATTCAGCTGTGTCTCACAGCCTTTTAGTCTTTGCATCAATCTGTGCACTTCCTTCTGTAATTTGAAATGATAGTCCATAGTGAAATTGGTTCTTCCAAGGGAATGCTTTGTGATGAAAAGTACAAGAGTCCCTTGATCATTTTTATCTTCCTCAAGGCAATAGGGAGTTGGTAGATAAAGCATACTTGCCTGTCATGTATGAGTTTTCACTTCTAGGAAGGTGACTCAATTTACTGTTGAACTGTGTGTGTAATATGTCATCTCAAAAGTAGTTTCAAAGTTTTTTTTTTTAACTTTGGGTACATTTTTATGATGCTTGGCAGCAGCTAAGAAAATAAGAATTTATGTAACTAAGGTTATTTGGAAGTATCTTCTTTGTGTACATTTGGTTATACTTTGCTCAGTGGTCTCGTTCGGTGCTTTGATGGTCCCAAAAATAACTAATTTTTACTTTTTTTTTCTTTTTTCTTGTGTTCCATATGCACAAAGTATAATTTTAATTATAAAATTTAGCAGGTCATTAAAAATAGTGTGTTCTCTAATAAAGAAAATAAATGCTTGTAGTTTCTAATAGCAGCAGAGGTAGCCTTCTTGCTTTCTTGATTTTTGACATGAATACTCATGGTAAAATGGATGAGGAGGGGRCCATTCACCTAAGAGCTGGACTTTGTGGTCCTTGTGGGTCCCTTCYAAATCAGAMTAYTCTGTTAKTCTGTGGCATTGAGGCAAGAGTCTGCTCAGTATCTGTGAGAGATTACAGCAGTAGAAGGCGCTGGGCACCTGCTCTGTTTTCTTTCCTACCTCATCGTACAATTGCTCCTAGCACGCACTGAGCAAGCCGATCGAGGAGAGCTGTTTGRCACCCAGCCCGATTCCCTGAATAGGTGGGAGCGGGCGATGCGTGGGAAGAGCCTTGTCTGCCTTCCACCCCCACACACCTGGGAGTCTGGGAGGCGTGTGAGCTGTGCGGGGCGCAGACATGATGCTGCTGTCTCCCTGCTGCATTGCCCTTAGCCTTGAGCAGATTGCCAGCTGACAACTGAGCCATGAATAATTGAAACAAATGCAGGTCATTTGTTTCAGTGTATGGACAGGCTGTTTATTAGTTCTGTGTGACACACTCATTCTTTTAGAAAAGCTTTTATTCTTTAAAGAATATTTTACTCTTTTTTTTTACATCTTTTCCAGACTTGTCAAAGCAATATGTTCATGATGAGGGGCAGCTCATGTGGCAATTTTCAGCTTGTTGAAAATGCTTTGAATCATTACAGCATAAAATATATAYGTGAAAAAAATTCCTTCAGCTTTGAAAATTACATTATTGTTTGTCAATGTTAGACAGAAGTGCAGCACTCATAAGTATTTCTGAAGCGTTCACATGTCAAGGTAATGAGCAAAGGTTATCTTAAAAAAATTACGTTATACATCAGAAGAGTGCTGAAATACCCATCTTGAAACAAGTGTTAGCATGGACTCCCAAGTCCAGCAACAGGAAGATGTTCTTTGCCATATATGAAATGGCAATATTCCTTAAAGTAAAACTTAGCCCACAAGTTACTGAASTTGCCAACCGCAGTAAAATGTGTTTACCAGTTGTTTATTAGTAGTTAAAATAGTACTAGATATATTATCAGAGTTAATATATTGCTAGGMTTTAGATTCAATTCACCTGTTCAGAGACCCTTTGGACATCCAGGAAACTGTCAAGGATCATGGCACCTAGGTACTGCAGAGAAAAGACCAAAGAGACAGAGTTGTTCATGTAGGGGGAAAAAAAAGGATAAGAAATGGCAAGCATGGGAAGGATGAATATTAGCACCACTTTTCTATATCCTCAAAGAGCCTTTGAGCTGTGACAGAATCAAGACAGAGCATTTGAGATTGGTTCTTTTTCACAGGCTACACAGTTACAGCCCACAACAGAGATGTTCATATGTATTCTAGTAGAGAGCTTTTTTTCTACTTTGGTTTAACTGTCTCTCCATGCAAAATGAAAGTATTTGTATACAAAAATAAAAGGTTTTTTTTTTTTTGGCTGTATCTCTATATGTTTAAACTCAATCTCTTTAAATTTAAATGTAAATTTAAAACATGGTCTTAACAAAACAGTAGCCAGGATGGAAGGAAGATAAAACTGCAACAGCTAGGTGTGGGTGAAACTTCAAAATTAACCCAGACTTCTTGCCTGGGTTTARAACCTTACCAGTGTTCTTGTCCTGGCCTGAGCTCATATTTATTGCTCATGTCTGTATATCTGTGGTTAGTTCTTTTGCAAGACTTTCTGGCGTCTACTTCCCCTCTTTACACCCTGACAATAATACCACTATAGCAGGTCTGTACTGATTAGATTATGTGGTATTGAGTAAAGACCATAGTTAGCAAATTCAATTCATATRTTGTTCTGTTTGATAACCTAAAGCTCACAACTGAAGGTCATAATAAACAAAGTCAGCTGTTACTTTGTAAGGATACTGTCACTTGTATGTGTCTACAGGTGACAGTTGTTTGGTTTTTAATTATCTTTTATTAGCTTTAAAGAAAATTGTGTTGGATTATTAAGAGGAACTCGCATACAAAAGATTTTCAATATAGCAAGCGCAGTTTCTTTGAGCACAGTTTGTAGTAGTCTTTTCACCATTGAAGAGATTCTCACCTTCCTGTGTTAGGGAGACAATGGATTTACATTGCCTGTGGAGCTGCTGCACAAAACCAAATCAGTGGAGTTACTTGGAATCACAGAACTTTTCTTCTCTCTTTTCCCCTCCAAGGTAAAATAAAATCAGAGCAGTTCACTGTTTCTGCTTATTGAAGGACGGTGAAACTGAGGTGCAAGACAAGCAGAACAAAATTGGGTGTGTTGATTGAGAAGAAGTGTTTATTTGTCTTGGCACCTTTCATTGCTCTTGAATCTGATAGAGGAAACTAAGGAAGAAAAAAGTGAATTTTCTTGACTACATGCTGCAGCATTCCTAGGTTTTTTGCATGAAAACTGTCTGCACAGGTCCTTCTGGAAAATGGAGACACTCTTACTTGGTTATTTCTATGGTATGTGTGCACAGGGCCACCCTTGGCATGGGGAGGAAGGAAAGTCACACTCCTTATCAATGCTTTATTTTAATTTTTATATTGATCTGTTACATTTCCCCCCCCTCAACTGAAAAATAAAGAGGTTTTTTTTTTCCTGCTGTCAAGGCCCATTATTGGTCCTGCATTACCACCTGGCTTTAGGAAACCTTCAGAGGACACCAGGAGTAGCAGATGTTTCATAGGACCATCTGTTTCATCAGAATCTCATCCCCAGGTTTGTGAAAACAGAAGCCTGTTGTTTTAATACAAGCTATCCGAAATGGTTAAACAAGTTGCAGCCTGAAAGAGACTACTAGACATACTTCCCAGGATAACAGTTTAATTTTGGACCAGAAGTGTCTGGCATATTGTTGCTGGAGTCAAATACTGGAACACAAATAATCCTAAAAAAAAACAAAAACAAAAAGTCTGGCCTGGTTTGTTGTGCTTTTGCTGTTAAATAGATTGTGCACTCACTGAACATAAGCAATCTTGTCATCCTAAACTGCAAGCACAGTAATTCTTCCTAACATTTTTTCATTATTTGTTTTGTTGTGCCATCCTTAACAAACAACATCTTGGCAAAGTTGAAATTTTTAAAGGCATTAAAGAAGTAATGAAATTGTTAGAATGAAAGTATTTACCTGTTTTATTCCTTTGCCGATGGGAGAGCAAAACAATTGAATGTTTTGCACATCTTCACCTCCTTAAAGATGTAATTTTTAAGTAAGTTTATCCAAAAGAAAGTAATCAAGAATGGCATTACAGTGTCRCTGAAATTGTTCTTATCAATTGCAAGGTAATACCTGTAACTGGGAGTGAGGTGGTGCAGGACAGTGTCACTAGCACATCGTTTTGGTTCACAGTTTTTGACTGTTCTGGTCATGTTAGGTGAAAACCAGATAGAAGTTCTGTCGTCTGCAATCCCTGGCTGCAAAATAATGTGTGTGCTACTAAAGGACATTCAGGAATAAAATGTGTGATAAAATACAACTAGAAGTATGGGGAAGATTCAAGTCTTTAAATGTGGGCTTCCAGCCAGACAGGAGGCCATAAGACACCCAAAATGGTGCTGGGTACCGCTGCTTAGGCAACTGAATCTCGTGCTGTGATAAACTGAATGTTAATTCCTTGGGAGAATTAATGGTTATTCTGTTTATTTTTAAAATACTTGCATTTTTATATTTAACTCCCAGACAAAATGGGAGATGCTAGACATACTAGGAAGGAAGGATGCGAAGCTGCTCTGCAACATCACTTTCCTTGGTTAGTATTTACAAAGTATATAATTCTCCAGCCTCCTACAGTGAATGTTGTTGTAATTCATTGTGAAGAATGATTATCTGACATTTCTGAGATACTCATCGTCTCATAACTCCAAATAACAATTAAGCAATTTATCATAGTGACAGATTTCTTGAGGCAGAGATGTCAAAACTGGTYGGCTTTTGTATTTTGCAAACAAAAAGTCTCTTTTCTCATAAATACATCTTCTAGGATCAGCTTTTTTACAGGTATTACAGAACTTACCTTTTTTCTGTTCCTAATAATTATCTCCTTTTTACCCCTTCCTAATAATACTCTTTTTCTTATTTTTGAATATGACTAATTCTCGTTGGCTTTTTAAAAAATTATTTAATTATTTTGTATTCAAGTACATCTTTAGAAGCAGCTTATTCCATGCTGACTCTTCACTTTGCATTAGTGAATATAATGATTCACCACCTTGTGTGTTCTCAAGTAATGCTTTTGTGCTTCCTGGCTGCACAGCCTTGTTATCCTGCTCCCATTGCTTTATCACGCACTGTCAGACTGCCGAGAAATCTTTGCACTTTTGTAGATGTTGGGTACCTTAGCTTTGCTCCCAGGGCACTGTGACATCACCATTTGCTGTTGAGTTTTGCCTCCATCCCCATCTGTACTGTTTGAATTTGGAGGGAGGGACCAGTGAACTTTCTGTACAACCCCTAGCAACTATGACAATTCTTATTGACATCTAGTCCCTTACAAACTTATTTTTATTAGCCCTTCTCCAAATAATTCCTTATAGTGCGATGTCAGAATCATGGAATCATTAAGTTGGAAAAGACCTCCAAGATCATMGAGTCCAACCTTTGACCCATCATCACCTTGTCAACTAGACCATGGCACTAAGGGCCACATCAACTCGTTGCTTGAACACTTCCAGGGATGGTGACTCTACCACCTCTCTGGCAGCCTGTTCCAGTGCTTGACAAGCCTTACAGTGAAGAAATTCTTCCTGAAGGGATCCATAAGGGATCGAAGAAGCAAATGACAGAGCCAAGGGGTTAGAGTTGGAAATACTGTACACCGAGAGGCATAGTACTATGYGTGCCACTGGTACCCCTACCATGCACTTTAATGTTTCTGACATCCTTACAGAATCTGAGCTTGAGACAGTTCTTTCTCAGTGTGAAATTGGGATCCTTGTTGGGGAGATGCATCCAAATGTTGCTGGTGTTGGTAAAGCCCAAAGTATGGAAGTGGTATGCTTGAGTGTTCCAAATTTACACACAGCCACAAAGGCTGTGTGGCTGCGTGGAGAGCAATGTAAAATAGCAGGGCTTTGTGGGCTGCCACTGCCATTACCAGCAGTCTTGTCTCAGATAGGAGATGCTGCTTTTGGCAAAATGGAGACAAAATATCTACTGTAAAGTGTTAGAATAGGTCTAATCTGGAGTTTTTGTCCAGGTTTTTGTTGTGTGGAGATGTATTGCATTAGGTTTTTATGTTCTTCTAGGCAAAATCCTTCTATCCTATAAAGCTAAAGTGTTTCTTGATGCTCTGAGCACTGTGGTTGAAAGAAATGTTTTATTTTTGGAAGGTGACAGATAGTAGTGAGGAAGAAGACAATCTTATAGGCCCAATGCCTGCAGAAGGACCAGTGGAATCTGATGTGACTAAAGACTTCGAACGCAGAGCTCAGAGAATGAAAGAAAAACTTACTTCAGCAGACAGTGTAAGTTGGATTTCTTAATTTCCAATGTTTTGTTGCTGGAGTGTATTTGTCTTTCTATTCACCTGTTTCTGTGTGAGCCCAGTTGCAGTTCTACTTGGGRTGCTAAGTGTTTGCAGACTTTACACAAAGCAAAAAGATCTGTGATTTCTGCTGGAAGCTAAGAGTTTTAGAGAGTAATTTTTGATTATGTTTTTTTTTACTCTTCCCTCCACCCCTTCTTCTTTTGCAAAGGATGAACCAAAGCAAGTTACCAGGGAATCATGGATGACAGAGCTTCCACCTGAGTTGAAAAGCTTTGGATTTGGCCCAAGAACATTCAAGAGAAGAGCTGATGACAAATCAGGTGATAGATCTATTTGGACAGATACTCCAGCTGACAGAGAGAGAAAAGCCAAGGTGAGCATTTATTTATTCATTCAAATACACCTGCAGGCAGTAGGTATTACTGATGTTCTRTGAAAACAAAGATACACCATGGGCCATTCAGTGAAATTTTTTTTTCCAGATTTTCTCTGTAATCAAAATTTGTTAATTCGGGCTTAAAGATAAAAGCAATGAAATAACAATATTAAGTATCATTGGTATTATTTCTGCTCTCCTTTTGCCGTAGTCAGATACTCTCTATCAGCTCACTGACTTTCCAATTAGCATGTGCAGTTTCTTCTTCTGTCAAGCTGAGCAGAAAATACCTGATGTTGTCTATCATGACCTTTACCCTCCAGATTTAATTAAAGTAGATATAGACTTGCTTGCTTTTTACTTCAGACATTCTGATTACTATAGCTTGTGATTTTCTTCTATTCATCAGGAAAGAGAAGAAGCAAAAAAGTCAAGCAGTAAGGATAATGAAGAAATGGTATTGTCTGGTAGAGACAAGAGGCTTATTGAGCAGGTGACTTCATACAATGTACGTGTAATCACAAGATACTTCTCTGCCTGTAATCACAAGATACTTCCTTTAGTTCTTCACTGTTTTCTTCTGGTTCTCATTTCTAGTGCTGCTGGTTTCCATGGTGATGCCACTACGATTTTCCCTTCTAGTGCCCAAACCTACTGCTGTTTTAACACATTAGAGCATTTATCATTGACTTCAACAAGAACAGGATTGGGTCCTCTCCAAAGTGACAGAATTTGGGTTTGTGTATATTGTCTCAGTTTTAGATGTTGCTTTCCTTAAATCAGCCTCACATGAGGACGTGATTGCTGGGACCTTAATTCAAATACTGGCTTGCTTCACCCAATTGCTGACATCCCACATATTTAACTTTTAGGCAAACATGCATTAAACTAAAAGAGGCTTGGTGGGCTAAGCAGGACCACATTAATTAACCTATGCCATTAATTACRTTAACTGCTCATGACAGTAACTGCATTACATGTAGTTTTCTCTGTCTCTACARGAGCAGATAATGTTCACAGCCAGATGTTGATTTCTAGAAATCTGAACTCTGTGTCAAACTCCCTCTCACTTTTCTGTCTGGCAGCCCTGTCCCTCAGAGTGTGGAGACCATTGCCTGTCTTACAGCTGTTGATTGCAGTTCTTCCCTGATGTGTGGCCTGAAGGTTTAAAGATGGCAGTCTTGTCTCTTATTTTGAGAATCATAACTTTGACTTCTTTTACATGTATTGTGTTTATCTGGTGCTTCTCATAATTTATTTGTAGTTCATTGAATCAAATGTCCCTCCTGACTTGGAGACTTGCAAATCCAGAGCTATTAGCATTCTGTCTTAAGGTTCTTCTTTAGTGTCTGTTTCTACCATCACTATGAATATGGTAAAATAATTTTCATGTAAAACTATGGGTTCTTCACTCTACCATTGCCAGAATAAAACATACACAGACCTTTGCTATTTCTAAGATTTGTGGAGTTGTCTCAAAGTTTAAGAACAATGTTTCTTGGGTTGTTTTGTTGTTTTTTTCTTTTTATTAAATCAGTTCTTTTCTGATTTTTTGGTGGTGGGTTGTGGGTTTTTTCTTTTAAAGTTTTTTCCTCTATTCTTTCCTATTTCTTTCTTCACTGACACTTACCAAGGTTATTTTGCTAGAATAGAAGCTTTTATTCTTTAAATAGTTTTTTACAGTTTATTCTTTCCATGCTGATGCCCCATACATTTTCTGRTGCAATTTTGTCAACACTGACACAGTTACATCATTAATAGGTATTGTCTATTCTCTGTTTTCCATGAGAATCTTTTCTTAATTACTGCATAAACTGTTATTTGCACGTGTGATGTAGTGTATGCAAAGGAAGTGAAGGAAAGTCATGAGAAAGCAGAGCTGCTCAAGTTTTGCACTTTTTGAGGCGAGAACTGGTTTGGATACATAAATGCACTGTRTATGAGTAAATGAGGGGCTTCATGGTGTTTGAGAGCTAATCCTGCTCCTGTGTGTAATCAGAAGTTTTGTGTTGTGTTTGGGCCTAGATCACGCTCTTTAAGAAATGCAGCTGAAGTCCTTGACTTGGCAAAACACGTGCTCCAGCTCAAACCTGTGACTTTGGCCTGTGGTCTTTCCATAGATGAGTCAAAATTAGGGGCACACATTAAAAAGCCCACCACAGTGCATGAAAGATGAAAGTGTATCTATTTTGTTCCTGCCCCTAGCAATGACCAAATCCAGATGCTATGGGGTTGTGTACAAGAAACTAGGCCTGTACTTTGAGGTATTTCTTTTGACATGGTGTCTTCATTCTGCCAATAATGGCAGAACAACTTTTCTATTTCTTTTGCATTATCTTTATAATTTATCTGCATTTTCTGCAGAGATTCTACAACATCATGGCTATCTACAACATCATGGCTATCTACGTCAGTGAATTATTAGTATTTTAGCCTAGAAAAGATTGCTCACACTTTCTACTCCATGTATGCTAAATTTATCATTCTATATCCAGTTCCTAAGCTGTCTTCTTTTTCTGGAATTTTTAGCCTTTCTAACTTCAATCTTTCCATTTGGATTTCTATATGTTGTTGATATTCGTTAGTGCATTACTTCCTCTTCCTTCTCCCTTTCTCCAGGAGTCAAAGAGGTCGGAGTCTCTCATGGACATCCATCAGAAAAAGCTGAAGAGCAAAGCATCTGAAGAAAAGAGCAAACCTCAGGAAAGAAGGCCATTTGACCGAGAGCAGGATCTCAAAGTCAATYGGTTTGATGAAGCACAGAAGAAAGCTCTTATAAGAAAATCCAGAGACCTGAATAGTAAATTTGAGCACAGTAAAGGCAATATGTTTTTATAAGATGAAAGCGTTAAGCTTTTTGAAGTAAAGTCAATTAAAGTCTGAATATTCATTTTTGTAAGTATTTTTCTGTAAATATTTGTATGCAAAATAAATATCCTGATGTTTACCTATTTTTCCTTGTCTGTAAATACTCTCTTAGGGAGGATCATCTGTACTAAAACATAACTAGCAAAGGAAAGTTCTCGTATAAAAAAAGATTATATAAATTTGCTACTTTAAAACTTTGATAGGTATATTTTTTGTTAACGTAAAAATAATTGATWAAAATAGGTTTTTAAGGAGTTCTAGATTTGATCTTGCTATTGATTTGGCAGTTTTCCATTTTCTTCTGCCATGCTTAAGATTCTCTTTCTGAGCTTGACCTAAAGGCCATGAAAAAATCCCCTTTAGGTTTGTGTGCAGAACACTGCACAACTGGAGTTCCTGCTGGGGAGTATAACTCAAATGGCAGCTTTTACATTTGTCCAGTGCTTTTATTTCTATGATTTTGTGTCTGTACATAAATACAGATTTATATATATGCAGAATAGTTTCTGTACTATAGCAGGAAGAGTTAGTGGTAGCAGGAGTAATGAAACCTCAAGGTTTTCAGAGTGCGTTKTAAAATGGTACTATATGAGACGACAAAATCTGATTTGAGTTTCAATTTGTCTCAGTTGATGACAGTTGAGAAATTTGATGACAAATTTCTCAATTGTCATCAGAAATCTGTCTTTTTAAGCACATACAATGTGAAAATCAAAACAAAGCTTATTTTCGTTAATTTGCAGAGCAGAACAGCACTTCTGTATCATATTGGAAATAAATCTGACATTTAAAAAAGTCTACAGTCATATTTAGAGTTATTTACCTCTTCTGTGTGTTAGCAGCAGAAAGAGTTGTTAAACCTTGGAATGGGCTGCTCAGGGAGGTGGTGGAGTCACCATCCCTGAAGGTGATCAAGAAACAACTGGACATGACACTGGTGATTAGCCAAAGGTTGGGCTCCATGATCTTAGAGATATTTTCCAATCTGAATCATTCTGTGGCTCTGTGTTACTTATTTAAAATTAGACCTGTACTTTCTCCCTTTGTCTCAGAGAATGTTTAGGATCCTTGTTAAGCAGTTGCTGAAACAATGTAATATATGAAAACAATGTAATATATGAGATGCTGGTTAATTTGTTTAGAAGTACTAAATACTATGGGGTTTGCTGTAGTTTGAAAAAAGTCATGTAATTTGAGAAAAGGAAGCCCTGAGAGATGCTGTCCGGGTTCCTTCATGTTTAATGGAGCAGTGGCCTAACAAGCTCCAGAAATGGATTGTTAAAAACCTGTGTGAGCTTCATGTGCTGAGAAGTCTTGGAAAGTTTCCAACATTGCAAATGAGTGGAATGTATTTAGATATAATTTTTTCAACACAATGTATTTTGCCACTTGCAAAATTTGCTGCCTGAAAAATCTGCTACCTTCAGAAGGAAGAGAGACTGATTTTGTATTATGTTTGCCTTTAATCAGTTATCAGTTTCTGAGCCTTTTGTTTTGAGGTGAGGGGAGGGTTTAAACAAGGGGTATTTAYTTTTCCTCCCCTAAAACAGACTTCTCTTAGTGCCTCATGCTTTTTAACTCAGCAGGCAAGAATCATTAGGCTTCTACTAAGCAAGTATAGATTTCTTAATAGTCTGAGTAAGTATAGATTTCTTAATTGGAAAAGCAGTATTAGAAACGTCTGGGATTTTTTTTAGGCAATTAAAGCCATGACAGGGTGAGCATTGCATGACTAGCTAAATCTTCACAGTTGAGAAAAAGTGATTGCATGAGCAAGTCATACACTTCTTGCTTATTCAAAGTCTGGAACAAGGATGGGGGCTGCTTGTGCAAAGGTTTTGTTGTTATGTGCTCTGTTTTTGTTTTTGTTCTTTGGCTCCTTCTCCTCCTCCAAATGAGCATAGATCATCAGATGTCACAGGTGGCCACACCTTGCCATCCAGCTGGCTTCTGCTATTTGGTCTCTGCCCTGCCTGGCCCCATCATGGTCTCCTGCCCTCACCAGGGCTGTGTGTGAGAGGAGGCTCTGCAGTGTTGCCCGACAGGAGCCGTCTCTAAATGGGAGTGCAGCAGCCCCTTTGCTGTCCTACACTACCCCTCCCTGTGTGGGACACGTGGTTTTAATTAGTGAAGCCTAAACGTGAGCTGGGAACTTAGTTTTGAACCTTCTTTTTTTTCCCTGCCACTCTGAGACAGTGTCTTAAAGACTCGATAATGTCAGTGTTATGARCTTGAGGTGGGGGAATTGGAATTGTTGAGAGGTCATGTTGAGATTTTCATGACTTTGTGTCAATTGTGTGGACCTTCGAACTGGATTAATACCCAAACTCATCTCTGACTCATGCCAAACCATTCCCTCAAATAGTCATTAGAGCAAGCAGTAATTCAGTAATATACAAGCTCTATAAGCTTTTATGGTAAAAGATGAGACATCTACAATTTGGACAAGTTGTAAAGCATTTCTGCTGAAATGTTAGGACGTGATTTTTTCAGAATCTCATTTGAAAAACCAGAATCTATTTCACAGAGAATCTTCACCATAATTACTATGCCATGTTTCTGGTGGCCAGCTCCCAAGACAGATTTAATGTATGCTATTGCTATTCTGCAGCACCAGCCTGTGTCACAGYATACTGATTCCAGGCACATCAGGAAACCCTGTTTTGAAAAAAAAAATGTCAGGGAGGTTTTCCTGGATGTGGAAGATCTACCAGCCTAGATTTTAGCATGCTTGCCTTTGATTTGTGCTGGCATATACATCCTTTATTTATACTGATGTTGAACATTCCTGCTTAAGACTAGGGTCCCCCTCCTGAAATGTTAAATAGGTGTAATTCATAGTATAGTTGATAAAAAGAAGGCTTTTATGCTAGGCATATGATACACTGGGTTTTTAAAAGGAATTTTAAGGAACATTGTACATTAATAACAAAAAAAAAGGAGAACAAAACCAAAAAACAATCGAGTTTGCTGTTAGCAAGGAAAAATTAAAAGCAATAAAGATATTTCAAGAAAACTTACTGATTGTTTTGGATGTGTCTTCAGGACAAATATATTGAGCTACCATGATTTCTCAGCTGGAAAATTTTGTTAGAATATGATACAGTAATACCTGGGTAAAATCTCTATGCTCTTCTAATGTAAGCACCTATTTGTGGAGTTATTTTTTGCTTTTGATGTTGAAGAATGGATATTAGTGGATGCCCTGTGCATATTGCCTTTTCTGTATGAACTGCATTTCCCAAATAATCAACAGCAATAGAAATGTTTTATTTAGGGCTTTGATGGAATCAAGTTGATAGCACCAAGGTGGCATTGTTGAAATAGCTTTCTTCTAGAAAGAGACATTGAAATCAAACATTAATATATTTCTGTCCAATAGGAAAGAGKGATATCCGCATAAAGAAGATTTTAAATGCTCCAGAAGACTCTGAGGGTCCAGGGCTAATTGAGCTTGTCGACTTGTTTTGTTTCTGAAGTGTAAATTAGTTATTTCTGTCCAGCCAATTTCAAATCACGTGTTGATTTACGAGTAATATAGCATTAAAAATCAGAATCTGTGAAAACTTACTGTGCATGCATCCTCAGCATGCGCCACCCCACTTGTGTACAGTGCATATAGTTTCTAAATGCATAATTACCTAATTCTCAAATAAAACACATGTGATTTCTTGTCCTTATGAATTATGTTCAGTGGGTTATATATTGTGGGGAAAAAAACCCAACAAGTTCTGCAGTTGTCTTTCAAACWACATCTAGATTTTTCTCATGTGCTCACAAACAAAGATGTTGTCTTTTTACCTGAGGAACACAATTACAGCTCCCTGTTGTTGTGTACCTCTGAAATGCATCTTCCTGATGCTTCCTGCTCTGGCAGATGAATGGGTAGTGGTGGCACTCAACAGCATGTCACACAAATGTAGCATTTCTGTTCTTTTCAAATATGATATGAAGGCTGAGGTATTACCCATGCAGAGCTGATTTTATCATAGCAGCCACTTCTGGGTCCTTCCAAAGTGGTTGTCACTGCAACAGACACTGGTTCTACTCATCTGTTTTCTTACATCRCTCCTTAAACCAGTAATAAGTCCCATTGCTCTTTGAAATTACACCCATTTTCAATCAGCATGGAAATCAAGCCTTAGATTTAAAAAACAAGCTCTTTCTTTCATTGTGGGAATATAAGGTCTCTAGGAGACAGCAGCACAAACTGTCACTTCAGCAGGAGCAGATGCAGCTGTGACTTCTTCCAAATAATTATTCCAAACATAAATATTCAAAAATAATCCTCATAAACAGATTCAGAGGAAGGCGGGAAAAAAAGAAGTGGCCCAGGCTCTCGGCTGCTTAACATTGCAACCACTTGCTTYACTTCACAGGGCTGTAGCCACTTGTCCTTGCACTTCCAACACCTGGCCAAGAGTTGGACAACTTGGGGTAAATTCCATCTTCCCTCTGTCCTCACCTGTSTCTCCCACTGAGCCTTGCTGGTACCTGGGCACGCAAGCCCGCAGCTCACAGCCCTGCTGCAGCTGCACCTCTCAGCCTCTTGTGCTGCTCGCCAGCCAGTCCAGCATCACTCACACCCACTCAGACCAGAAAGAACACTCTGGTTCAAACCGAATAAAAATAGGTTTCAATGAGAATACAGAACAGATTGGAGTGATCAAGTGCAGGCAGGGCTCAGGCAAGCACATTGGCCTGCCCTTTATATACTCTTTTCCCCACACTTGCTCCTTTCCAATCCACCTCAATTCCTTTCTTTCCCTACTTTTAATCCATTCCCTAACATCCTCAACTAAGTCTTGTGTGTTCCCACAGCCCCTGGAAAGCATTCCTAAACAAGTTGTAGACAATCCCCAAAAAKACTTTTCCTACCACATCCCTCAGTGAGCTTTATCCCCATCACCTTTCAGTAGATACCTCTGGGCGTTTCTCCATGACCCACGAGAGGGTCGTGTGTCTGCTCTGCAGGGCCTCACACACATTGATGCTGAGGCCATGGAAGACAAATGAGTCCTTTCCGCTGCTTGCAGTTTGCTCTTTTCTGTTCAGCCAAGCCCTACTGCTGCATCCCAGTGCAGCACCGCTTCACATCTGGGGTCCCAGAGCACCAGGAGGTGGTAATTCAAAGTGGTGGGTTCCCATCCAGGGAGAAAAGGCACTATGGAAAAACAGCAGCTTCAGGAAGAGGAGACCAGCTGACTGCTGGTGTGTACAAAGCCTGCAGCTGGGGCAAAGCTGTCTAGAGGCCATCAAGGTGTTCCTGCGGTTTCCAAGGTAACGTCCATCTTCTGCCATGCAGGTGAGGCTCAGCCTTTATCATCACGTAAGCAGAATACAAATAATGGATCTGATGTGGAAAACAAAATGCACACAAAATGCCATGTGCTACCCCAGCTGCTCTGCTAGTGATTTTTCATCTTCCACCCTTCTACATCAGCCCGCTGAAGCGAAGTCCCAGGAACAAGGAATTCATCCACTGTAAATGAACCTTCACGACTCGCTGCCAGATGGAAGTCAGCTAATTCAGAGTTACCATAGGTGGCTTTCCAACTGGAGTCATGACTCAAGAGCCCACGGACCTCACCAAGGCACAGCTCTTCGGTGGCCACGCCACACWGGTCTGACTGCTCACTTGAGAGGATCCATCCATTCTCCAGTAGTCATTGGCACCAGCTAGGCTTGGCTATTAGCTCAAAGTCATCCTGKATCTTCTAGGGAAATAAAGGAATGATGGCTTCATCTCTGTTGCAACCACGAGAGAGCTGGGCTGCTRTCACAGAATCAAGTAGCACTTCTTGTATGGAATCACACAGGTCAGGTGCTATTCACCTCTGCAGCACCTGTGACAAAAGCCACTGGGTTTTATTTGCCTCTTCAAAACCAGCATRAGAGAGAAGAAGAGTGAGAGGATGTGCTCACAGTCATATACCAAGTGCAGTACTTTAACTTTTTGGCATATGCATTGTTGTCAACAAAGGGACTTTTGAAGAGCAGAAAAACTTAAGGCCATCACTGAAGATCTTGTGCAGTTCTTCCTGTCATTATCATGCTGTGCACCAGCAGAGAGCCCACACCAAATACCCCAGCTTTCCACAGAGCCCATGGACACACGCCCCAGGTTGTGGCCCAGCTGCTGCTCCTGGTCCAGCATCTTCTCTCCAACACCTTTTCCCAACAGAGACCTCASCAGGGAGAAGGACACAAGTGCCAGRCTGAGCTKTCAGGGGAGAATCCAGCACAAGRCCAGAGCCACAGTGCTGAGGGTCATGGGGGGATATTCTGGAGGAGATTTCTGCTCAGTACTGATACTACAGCAGGAACAAGAGCATGTCAGGAGCCAGAAGGGGATCTGCAATGATACTGAATGCAAACATTGTCTGAAAAACCTGGCAACAGGAGGCCCTTCTTTCCAGGTATTTGCAGCTTTCCTGGAAGCTGACATTATCCACTCCAGGTGTCAGCTCTGATTCCTCCACAAAACTCTGTGTCAGAAAATGTCACATTAGTGACATTTCAGAGCACAAACCCCAGCACAGCCAATATTGAAGAGTTCCTAGCACTGTGTGCTAAAAAGCTCTGGTTTGGAATATGGACTTAAATTTGAGAGGCAAATTTGGGAGTCTTGCTAGCATAAGGAGTATWTTTTTTTTTWTTTTTTAMCCAATATACCCCCAGCTACAAGCTTTTGGCCCTCTCAGGCTACAAATGCTGAGAAGGAATGTGTTGGTGCCTGAGAAGCATCTCCCTGAGACCTACTCTGGCAATGCTGTATCCCAGGCAAGGAGACTGGCTGAGGTCTGCTTCCCCATGCAGGGGCTGCAGCAATGCCAGGATGAGTGGATCTGTGAGCAGGGAACCTGTCCACCCCACAGGGTCAGACTTCTCCATCTGTGTGCCTGAGCTGACCTGTAGGGGACTTGTGRTCTGCTCTCTTGAAGGATATGGAGAGATCCACTATGCCTCGTCCATTTCTGGGATGAAATGATGTATCACCATCAGCTGAGGTAACCAGTGAAGTTTCTGTCCCTGCTCACCAGGATCCTGGAGTGTGAAAGGAGCTGCCTGGTCACCCACCAATCRGTGGTGATTTTCTCTAGCACTCAGAGATGGGCACAGCCCAACAAATTGATACCTCCTGGGACAAGACAAGTGAACTTGTAACCTCTTGTCTGGGTTTAGGCTCACAGAAAAAGCAGGAATCCTGACCAACATCCAAATATCAACAGCAAGTGAGATGATACAGGCAGCTGAGGCATCATCCTATTTTGACTGCTGTACCCCCACAATTAGCATTTGAGTAGCCTTGGTAACAAAGTCATATCAAAAACTCTTCACCAAGAGGAATTCTTGGTTTAGCGGCTAATATGAGACAGTGAAGATCTGCCAAATGTTTGCGAGTTTGAAATGCACTAGGCACAACTTTGCAAAGGCAAAAGAAAGCTTCTTTCTCAGCCTGTCAAAAGACAGAATCTTCAAAAGAGTCACTGTGATGAAATGCCTCCAATACGCAATGTTTCTTACAGTGTAGTTGTTCCATTTCTGATCTTCCAGCCCAGAATCTCAAAGAAAATCCTMCAATATCTTTGTGAGGTAAATCTGGGAATTGTATCTCATCCCTTTTCTGAATACTAATGTTTTAGAACACATTATCATCCTCCTCTCTGCACCTTTCCCAATTATCAATCTCCCAGTGCTCTACACCATGCTACTATTATTCTACAAATTACTTGCATTTCTTTTCCCCCTAGGATATAACCACCAATATCTTTATATTCCATGGGTGCTGTCAGGTGTCTGGCTCAGACACAGGTCTAATTAAACCCAGAACAATTGTTCCCAAGATGCTGTTAATTCTGAAATTCACCTCATCTTTTTTGAGGAGTGCACATGCCCCAAAACTCATTTGCTTTCTTCAGCTATATTAGCTGGCTTCAGAAAAGCTATTGTACCTACATAAAAATCTAAATATTTAAACCTTTGGCTCTTACAATACTGGCATGCCAAAAGCCTTCATAAAGTCTGCAAATAGGAGGTGTAGCATGTGAGTGGGTCTGGTTTCTGAAAAATAGAGGTGTGACACTATGGCATGCTTCACAGAAGATCTTAAATTCTGTTTCACAGGACACTGTGAGGTTTGAGCACTAGCTTAAAATAGGAGTTCACCTTTGAGAAGCAGCATTGATCCATGGCTACAAAGCCCTGTGAAACTCAGACTCAACTCCTTCAGCCCCTGCCTGGAAGAAACACTTCTGTGCTCCTTCAGGAGGCTCCTCTCCGTAAGGGATGCAGCATCTGAGCTGCCCTTTCCCATCTGGAGAATACAGAGTTAATGGTCTTCCTCAGTCCTGGGACGACAGGCTCAGGCTTGGGCACTCCAGGCTGCCATCCCCACCACTGCTTACCCATGGCTGCTTGTGTGTGCTCCTGACCACAGCCAGCATCTCTCCATACAGCCAGCTGCACTGCTCTCCCCTGGGGCTTTGTACATTCACTGTCAACTTACTGCATGAGAAGGATGGTGTGTCCTAATTTCCACATATTTATGTCAGTGTAGTATCTTTAGGCTTTGGTTGAAGCTGGTGGATGGTTTCAAGAGCTAGGGAGGGAACCACTGTCAAGCAGACACACCCACACAAACAGCATGACCCCAAGGCCTCCTTCCCAT